ATATATATATATATATTCTGGAGCCGACTAATCTTATCTCAGGAGTTAGTCTCCTGAAAGTAAGTGAAGTAATTTGAGGACCGTTCTTTAATCTATCAGTGAACCTTGCAAGTTTTTGTGCCATAACTCAGAACCAGGTGCGTAATAAGGGCATCATCATCAAAGACAGCAACGTCATTGCTGACACTAATGCTTCGCCGCCGTACAACCACAAAGTTTATCCACTTCTATTTGAAACCTTAGAGCGAAAGGAAGAGAAAAGGGTGGGCGAGGCAGAGGATCTTGTGCCGGCCTATTGCGAGCATTCTAGGGTGCCTACACTTTCAAGCGTTCAATCAGCACGAACGTCAAGCGCAGATGGGGGCCATGGGCACCTAGGTTTTCGGGAAAGTCGAATCTTAAACACGAAATGAGCAAACCTCATTATAATCTATCAAACGGAAAACTAAGTCTGCAAGTAAGACAGCCAAGACGGCAATAATAAAAACTTCAGAAGCATCAGTTGTTCCATGAACATTGCCGGAAAAATGAAACGGTGCGACGGCAATTGTATGCTACAGTTGTGTGAAACCACTGCTTGATGAGAGAAATTTATCCCGCAATGAGCCTTTTCTCATGAACTCTCAATGAAGTATGACCAGCATTAAGGTCCGAGCACAGCCTCATCTGCTTTCTGTTCCATTACCTGATGCCTTAAAATACATGTTGATCCCGTGGTCCACCACGGACCCTGGCTTTTGGGACGAAGATTCTCAGTTATCCTTCGGTGCTGCGTCGTTTCGAACTGAACAGCTGATAAGNCTGAACCGCTGATAAGGACGGTTTGAACGGTTCGGAATCTGGTTGGCAGAGGACGTATTAAGACCATTGTATACTGGTCGCTGCAGAATACCATAATACCGTCCTTTGACGCCGTCATTAAATGTCCTACCGTTTCAGCACTGGTCAGCGTTATTTCGAAGCGCCGAGTTACACAGGCTTGGGTTATTGTGGGTGAAAGAATCGCATCGCGTACACGCATCTTCGCTTAAAAACTGATTTTCGAATGGGGATGCATGCGATTCTTTCCAGCGGTGCCGATACAAAAACTTGTTTCTTGCCACACTTAACCATTTCAGCGGATGGTGAAGCCCAGGTTTGTTTAAGGTAGTCGTTCCAATATCCCCCTTTAGGTCGAAGATTTGCTTCTTTTCAGTGATTAATTCCAACCGAGGGGGCGCAGTACCCGATGATATACTGTATTTCCCCTTAAACTCAGGCGATAGCATTATCGCGGTCCCTAAACTCCGTCGTATGGCCTGTTTGTACCCCCGAGAAATCACCGGGAGCACTCGACATTACTCAGTCGACTGTGTACTGGAAGTGCGTTGGCGATAGTGAGTACCCGCGTCTTGAGGGGAGCCGTTATCTTCTCCCAATAAGCAGGAGTACAGACTTCTGTGCTTGAGTGGTAGGTGATGCTGAAATTTCGCAGCTTGTCGGACACACCGTCAGCTCCCGAGAATTGCCAAAAACATCCCCTACTGATTGCCGATCGAAAACCGATGAAACAAGTGGTTGTCGGTCTCGGGAACTTATGGCTATGTTCCAAAACACGACGTCCATCAAGACAACCCCTTCCTGGACGGAAGCTTCCCCGACTCGGTGTAAACTGGCGCGGCGATAAGAGTCCATGGGAGGTATGTGATGTTAACGTATTGGCATAGATGGCGAGTACATTGGAGAGCCTGCGAAAGGGGCTATCATACTGCTGGATGATACTGGCTCTTGAGAAGGGTACCGTTGGCACATTAAGGGCAACAGCAGCATTATGCACCCCTGAGTTGTTACTTTGGTCGATGTGTTACATCTGACAGGAGGATTTTTCTCCTTTTTTATGAGTCGAAGTCGGAAGTCCATGTCCCCTAGTAGCAATCATTTAAGCCTGGTGGTCATAGGCTTACTCAGCGTTGAGAGCTTTTTTTACGGGGAGCGCCTTAACATGACAAAGTCGTATTTGACTTGCAGTCACCTAGGAGTTTATCCTGTGTCGTGTGCCGACCGCAAGTCATCAGAAATGATGTGAACAGCATAACTGCCGGAAAGACTTGAATTTTTGTTTGCCATCTTCATACTTTGGACGTTTATTCGGACTTGGTTGTGTAGCCCTTGCACATTCAAAGACGACCCGCAGGACAGAGTGACTTCCGGGCGCCTTCACACGGTTCGCGCGCTCATCTGCCAGTACCAATTGCCTGACAGTAGTCCACGTTCTCCTTGTGGCGTGTGAAACTCCCTTACGGCGGAGCAAAGTCGTCATGTCACTATGCCGTGATTGGATCCGTGTAACACATTACAGTTGACTCGCTTGCCAACCAATAGTTTACCACGCCCTAGTGGTAACAACCTTGGGTCCCGTTATATTGTGCGTAGCAGCAGTCACAGTATGTCTAACGCAGATCGCCACGCCGAAAAAGGTATGTTTTGTGACGCAGAGATAGAACCCCACGGACCAGAGTTGAACACCCATTAAAACCTAAGGAAAGCGACGAAATATGGATTTTTTCCAAGCCCCTTTGATTTGGCCTTCTAGGCCTTAGTGCATTAACATGAGTCATTTCATTTGTCCAACCAAGACCTCCATTTTGGGCGGCGTGTGACTGCTGCGAATAGCTATTCCAGCGTTGACTAGCTCATGAAGCATCCGACTAGTCGATTCACTTGCCCAGTGGTTCTGTCTGTCCGCATTGATTCACATGTTTCGCTCTATAATTGGGAATATTGTTCGGGGAAACGGTTCCTAAACAGGAATAAGCTTTTTTGGCCGCATGATATTCGCGGAACCTCTGACTCTTGCTGTCACTTTCTCTGTCTCTGGATTCTGTTTAATCTATGTACCATCGTTCATCGACAGCGATACCACCGAAGGTGAGACGTGCAGAACTGTCCGAAACAACATAAAGCTGTGGTGTCCTTAAGACTGCGCTACAGCGTTCAGTGTATAATGCCGGTCTCTTTTCGTTCTCCGTCACTTACCCATAGAATATAAATCCTTTCACACGAAATCATCCGTTTTCTTTGCGTCAACTGCTGATGGTGCACTAACTGTGATAACAGTGACGTTTAATATGAATTAGCCTTAATACGCGGCTCACCCTTGTAACGTAGAAGGCTGCAACCGATATAACTTTACTTTCAGTGGCATGATATGTCTCCTTATTCCACTACTTCCTGTGGTACGCTACTGCTTTTTACGTACGCTGTAAGTAGTGTTTCGACCACAATCCTCGTATTTTCTTCTTCCAGTTCATCTTCAGCGAATCTCCCAGACAGCGGTGCCTTAACTGCAAATGGAATTTCAAACTCTGCAGCCTCTTCCGCGGATATGGCTCGGTCAACATCGAGCGTATCCACAATGACCAGCTCAAATGGTCGGGCTCCACTCAGAACCTCAAATCGAAGTTCACTGCGTTTGACACCAATGGACGTCATCGAAGACAGCTTCTGGCCGTCGCTTATTGGCTCCCTCTTTGGACTTCAGCCTATATCTTCTAGCAGTTTGGCTGCTCGGCCGTTACCAAGCTCATCATCCAGTAGCGCGGACTCCAGCAGAGACAACCGTCTGACCCTTCCCGATAGACAGCGTCCTCGGGCTGATTGGACAGAAGCTGGAGAGTGGTGGATATTGGATACCGGGAGCTCTTCACCCACTGCGTTACCCACCTCTGCCTCGACATCCCCATCCTCTGCCAAACACTCTAAATTGACCTCCTACTTCAAACAGCAGACATTTTCTGATAGCCGGCCTCTACCTATGGGCTGGGGTTAGTTCCTTCGTTTTCGTGTTCATTTTGGTGGTGCTTATCGTGAACTGCACAACCGTTTCCCCTCCACGTACCATTTTGGGACGATCTCTACCATTTCACCGCACTGTCGGTAAAGTTCCTTTGTACTTAGGTGTGTCGAAGCAAATGTGGTGCCGCAATTGCGTGCCACCGTACTTTTCCTTTTGTCGGGAATCGCCAGAGTTATCGGTCTAGCATTCAACCGTGAGTCGAAATTATTTAGATTATTTAGTATTGTCTGCATTACGACTGCGCAGATCCAAGTAGAGCTATATCGTATGCGTATTCGATATCTGTGAGCAAATGCCCTTGGGACATTTTGAACCACAGGCATTACAGGCTGGGAGTAAGTCTTCCATACTCGTATCGGTGACTAAGTTGAACAGGATAGGTGAAAGAGGACAGCCTTACCTGACACCACTTGATGTGGTGAACTCAAGAGAGAGCTTCCCGTAAACCTCAGTGAGTCCGTGAGAGTTGGCATACAGCTCTTGAAGGAGTGTCGCTGTTCCAGATACCGTCGGAGGGTGAAAATGTAATCGCTACATCCTCTTACAGAGCAGAACCCAGCCTGGCTTTCACTGTTTTGTCTCACCATGTGTTCAGTCAACCTTCGAAGAATAACAATAGACAGCATTTTCGATGCCACAACCACCAGGTGTTCGCGTACCCTTTTGAAGATGGAAATAACTGTCGACATGCCCCATTCTACAGGAACTTTCTCTTCGCTCCATATCGTGTCAATAAACTTTATTATACTGGTCACCAGGGCTCCTCTGCCTTCTTTGAAGAGGGCTGGATACAGACCGTCCGGGTCTGGTGCCCCCTCGCATTCCAGGGCGGATATTTCTTTATTACTTTTTCCGACAGGCGATTCAGGGTCAGATTCTATTCGCCCACATGCACTACCTCCACAGTCTGTGTTGCAGGTGGCCAGCTAGACTATTCTTCGAAGCCCATCTTTCCAGTCGGCGTTTTTGCGAGTGAATTAATAAGCATTTATCGTTTCACTTTCCAAGGGCCAGTCGATCTTGTCAGTTGATATAGGGCAGACTTATTTCCTGCAGCCAAAGCCTTCTCTATCTATTGAGCTTTTAATGTCCACCAGGGTTCTCGGTCTTAGGTTCTTCACTGTTTGACGTTTGAGGGTTTTGCGTGCGCCGTCGTACGCGTTACCTGCTGGTACAGATTTCCTGGAATCAATCAGCACTAGCGATCTCAGCGATATCCTATGGTCTTATGGTCATTTCAGACAAGTCGGATATACAGCAGTGAACGTCGCTAGCGTAGCTTCTTTCACAGTTTGCCATGCTTCATCCAAGTGCTTACTACCAGTACAGTATTGGTTTACTGTAAAGAATTGTTCAGCTAGCTCAGATCGATACTGCTGAGCTATTATAGTTTTTCGAAGATGGTGGATTGGCACGTTTCTTGCTGACTTGCAACGGCCTGAAGGGAAACGAACTGTCAGGCGTGCACGCACCATGGCGTGATCGGAATCAAGTTTAATGCTCCAGAAGGAATGGTAGTCTTAAATTGTGACTCTCCACCGGTGACTGACGGCCAGTGGTCCAACTGGGACCACGGTTTATTTGCAGTTGGTGGCTGCTAGGTGATGCAAACCTTTATGCTGGAAATTCTTACCAATCAGAAACATTTCGTGAGCAGGATACAACTGGAGGAGTCGCTGCTTGTTGTTTGTGAGACTAGCGTTGATTCCGAATCGACCGCCTAGATGTGTTCTCGGGGCACCATGCAGGGAGTTGATGCTTTAATAGTCTAACGTGGTCGGCTCTATGGGGCTAGTCTAATCCGAGGATGTAGGGAGTAAGGCATTACTGTCTCAACAGAATCTTTGGTCTTAAAAGTATATCGACGATATAGAATAATGCGCCTGCAGTCATGGTCAACCGTTGGACGGTCGCAGTGTGCGATTTTTAGGGCCGACCTTTTTAACCCGTCTTTCCTCGGGGAAGGCAGCATCGCTTCTTCCATAAATGTAGATATACTGTCGCCTGGGATGCGATTTTTAGGGCCGACCTTTTTAACCCGTCTTTCCTCGGGGAAGGCAGCATCGCTTCTTCCATAAATGTAGATATACTGGTCGCCTGGGAGAAACTCCTTACCATCTTCACACTGCTATCGCAGAGGACAGTATGAATTTACCTCCAGACCGCCTCGAGGCATGATTATTCGTAGTACAGGGTCTCGCTGCTCTTGGTCTGACTTCCCCCCTTTGGCCTTCCTGGCATGGTTGCACCTTCTGAAACCAAGTTCCATCCAGTGTAGCCCACAGGCTTTGTAGCACTCAAACCCGACCACCACGTCAGGGTGTTGGCTTTAGGTCGGTGGCGGAGAACTACAAATGTTGCCTTTGGCATCAGTTTCGGTGTTCTGTCTCATGCACACAGAATCCAGTAATTTCGGCGAGTCACCGGTGCTCCGTCGCTTCTGGTCAAGAGATAGTCAGGGGATAAATTAAAATGATTGTCAACATAATTGAAGTGGTCGATTTTGGTTCACAACGAAGCTGAGAGCAACATCACTTTGTTTATTTAGGTAAGTCGATCGGGCTAACCTTCTTAAAACTTAAACATGACCGCGCCTCCAACTTTCCTTCTGAGAAATCCTCAAATTTCCCAGATAATGGATCAGTATTACTAAATGCTGTGAAACCTCTAAGTCGGTGATACCCGCAATAAGAACCATAGGTGGAGTTTCACAATTTTTTCGTATATTTCGAATATATAAGATAAACCGCTGCGCAGCTAAGTAGTGTGCTTCACGCGATAAATACAAGGTTATAACAAGCCACTCACAGAAGTTCGAATGCCGATATATTTTTGTGGACCCCGAAAGCTTGCTAAGCTGACTGTGTTGCTGTGTTGTTTTCTGGCACGTCTTTGCCAGCACTCATAGCGTGTATTTGCTATTTACAAACTTGTCATCTCACTACCTATAGTTCGCTCGGTTATTCTCCAGAATCACTGGCCCAGTCATTGTTAGGCGTTTCCACCATTTCTAGCGTGTAATTGAGAAACTGTACAGGTTTTGTTATTTACTCTTTCTAATGGTGCCATTGGCATGGCGAGTTATTACGTGCCAGTGCATGGACCCTAACCTGGGTCGAGTTGACAGCGTACGCCGTCGACTGTGAAGCCATACTTGGGTAACCTGCCATTGACAGTACACTTTTGATCCGCTATGTTTTACTTGTGCTTGGAGTCGCGGGCGCGTTTCACCGGCTCCTTAGCAACATACCTAGGTGCCTCGGGAATTCGGATACACCTATGAGTGAACAGGGTCATCTATTCGAGAGCCCCTTGTTGATGGTTCCGACCATAGTGCCGAAGGAACCTTCATTTAGTGGGCATAAGCGTCAGATTGGATGGCGTTCCTCTCTGCACCTGATAGGTTTCTCTAACACATTTTCCGGAATTCGCTGAACCAATACTGCGCCTTCTGCCGAAAATTCCCTTATTACAGTTCGTTGGATAGTCGTGCTTATTCTCATGCCTCTATCTCAGACCGCAGCCGAAGTAATTTGGAAAACGTTCAAAAGGTATCCTGTTCAGGCATCTTTTAACGTTGAAAACGGCCAAAACAAAGGAGACCAACGATTTAATCGAACGGATAGACAATCCAACTAGATTATGAAACCACCACTCAATGGTCCGCAATCTTTAATAAACTGAAGACCGTAGGTTGTGTGACTCGGCCTTACTTAGCGTGCCAGTTGAATCAGTTCGGTGAGTTATTATAGTGGAATCATGTCACTCAATCATGCCCTCAATAATTAGGACCAGCAACTTAGGATGGCAGTCCTTCTGCAAACATAACACTAACGTACCTGTGAAAAGATGAAGGCCTTCGCCGCTGAGTTATTTATTGGACGACACCAACAGATTATTGGACAGGAAAGCAAAGCTCTCACATGAATCTTGTTTACAAAAACTTAATATCCATCTTCTCCTTGAACGCGTCTTCGTAAACTGTCCTGGATATTCATTGACTGTTGCCCAGATGCAAGCAAATGCGACTCCACAAATAGATCTCATTTTTCAAGGGATGCGTAGCGGATTTAAGAGAAAACATACTTCTCGCATGCCTCCATCAGTAGTATCCACCATTACACATGTAACCCTTTCCAAGATGACGGAGCTTATCTCACCTTGGATGTTTCCTTACTTTACACCTGCTGGTGAAAAATACATGGTACTTGGAGCGCTTCAGGATATTTGGCCTGGTTTGCCGGCAAGAAAAACCGCAATTTAGTTCCATTCCCAACTGTCCGATACATTCACTCTAGGCGTGGGCAACTTGTATCTCAGTCTTCACATTGAGCGCACGAAAACTATGCACCAAAATGGAGCTACCGTTGGACAGCTTTATTCCTTCAGTTGTCTGGATTGAACAATTGGTCGTTTTCAAACATCCATGACACACAAATACTTATAGTCATCGACCTATTTGTGTCCTTTAATTGTTTTAGTCTTCGTGTACGCGCATGCGTTTCCATAGCATCGCCAATTGTCTTTTTTTCACCTTGAATTTTTACCTTCGATAGGATGTCGAGGTTATTTTATTCTTCCAAAAAATTTATGTACTCTGCTTGATTGAAAAATGTCGGTCTACGTGGGGACATCAACTATCTTAACAACGACTTTTTTAAAACGAAAACCGTGAAATTACTATAACTATTCGCCCCCACCAAATCCACTTGTTGGAACTTCATTAAACGCATGTTTGGTGGCCTGGAGACTAATGTTTAATTTCAGGGAGACTTATCCCGATTCGTGCAATTCGGCATTTACCAAGGCAGCCATCTGCTGAGCAACAGGAAGTACTTCGTAGTATCTTCATTTTGCTGGATTTTTCACTGATTTCTTCATTTGAGGATGACATGTACCGGTTTATTTCTGAAAACCCATTGGTCACAACCTGTTGCCTCAATGCGCCGTCAGTTTCGCGGATGCCACTTTGGAAACAGTATCCATGCGGCTTGCCCATTCTCTAGAAATGCCTTCGGTCAGTCCATCTGTCCTGATGGAATATGCTAAGAGTATCAGAAAAGGAATCCGAGGGATATGGAATCAGCTGCAGGACAGAAGCACGGAATGCGGTTCGACGAATTCTGACGCATCATACTGAATGATCTCAAGCAACCGCAACTATCTATGAGGGATAATCAAAATAAGCATCTAGTGAACGGGTCTGTCCTTTATCACAGGACACGACTTCTACGTGAACGGACTTCCGAACCTTGTGTAATTCTACTTGTTTATAATGCTTGTCTAATTTTACTTTAAAAAGTGCAGTACAAATTTGCTCCTATTGTATGTGTGTCACAGGAAGCGTGTCGACTGTGGTATTTCCAGGTTATCCAAGATTGTAGCGATCTAATGGTCAGGCGCATTCCAACTACGATCTATTTCAACGGGAGTTCTACCTTTATTATATGTTGCTCCCATTTAAGATAGAGATGAAAGCAAATCCAAATGCTCGGCTATACGGTTTCAGCGAAAATATACCGCGTCCCGTGACCTCTAGTTAGCCAACCACATGGTATTGTTTCCTTCTCCAAAACATGCTGGTTTTTCACGACCCTACAGAACGTCGAATCGATCCGGCTTCTCAGCGCATCTACTACGTGAATCATATCAGTAAAATAACCCAATGGGAAGATCCTCGGGAACGTGGCATGGATGAGACTCAACCATTGCCTCGGGGCTGGGAGAAGCGCTACACGCCGCAAGGACAACGCTTTTTCATCGATCACAACACGCGCACAACAACTTTTATCGACCCACGTACAGGGCAGCATGCAGGGTGAGTTTGCTTGATAATCCAGCTTTTGTAGGTATGTCTTGTTACACAAATGGGTGGTTAGAGATTGGTTTCTTCTACACGATTTGAGGGCGTTTCGTAATGGCTAATCAGTCCTTATCTCGGAGTAATAACACGTGAACACAGCACAGTGCACCGCTCAATCAGACACTTACGTGGCCATTCGCGTAGCTTTTTTCGTCTATTCCTGATGATACTTTGTATCCGATTTCCACTCTGTAGATAGGTGAATTCTCTTAGTTTTCTAGGCTACATTTTTGTTGGTATTGTGAAGTGATTCGACATTTTATTGGAGATTTCGTTCCGTAAGTGAAGCCAATCTCTGCTGAGCAGTTGAGAAGCACTGTGCAGCTATTCTCTCTGGGAATCACCGGCACTGCGCATCTCACAAAATTCCACAGATTATCGATCCAACGACTCTAGCTGTGGTAGTAGTTGGAACTCTCAACCGTTCAGTCACTAATACGGTGTTATTAGATCGCACTTAGACAGGATATAGCGCTATTCATCCTTCAATCGTGGGTTTCTCATACGTAACCACATGTGCTGACTAGCTTCTTGGAAACCTCAGATAGAGGTTAAACTCATCGGGCGAGTTTTACTCTTCCTCTGAACCAATTATTGATTGTTGCTAGTGAGAGGAGACTTGGCAATTGTGAAATGAGCACGGCTGACGATTCTCAGTATGAACGAAACAGCCATACAGTGCCTATTGGCTTCTCACCATGATTGACTTGACTTACAGGACGAAATTCGCATTACTTTTTTTATCCAGAGGGTCGTACTCTGTTGTTGCTTTTTCTAGAACTTTGGACCAAACTGGTCGAAATATACTGGGACTTTTTTTTAACTGGCATACTATTTTCGTTTTTCGAACTTCGGGTACTGTCACAAACTCGACCGTTTCCAGGAGTTTCATTGTTTTTGTAAGCCCAAAAGTAAAATCTCAACCCAATAGTTTTTAAGCCGTGGACTGAATCAAATTCCGGTGATAGGCTTTCATTGGGTTTTGAGCGATCGACCCATACCACTACCGAGGCATACGTCTCCTTATCGAGCAGTTTCACCAGCTCCTTTTGGTGGATGCGGCCTTCTTTCCCACTGAAAGTAACGGGAACACTCAAATATATTGTGGTGTTTGTCGCACCCAGAGAAATGGTAAGTTCCTCGACGAATCAAAAAGGTTCGACTGAAACCACGATTACCCTGTGTTTCATGTTCTCACGAATCACCATTTCTTTTGTCTTCGGGTGTTGATCGCCATGCCGGCTCTTCTCAACTCGGCCTTAGCAGCTTCAATCTTCTCTTTACAGTTAGCCTGAATTTCTGCACACAAGGCCCATTTGTCAGCGAAAGCAAAATCATCCACCATTGTATAATCGAAATGGTATCCTCGTTGTGGCATTAACAATCCAAGGTCCTCCTCGGCCTCTGTGATGGATAATATTACGATTTTGGGTTTTCCAGCCTCACCTCTGCGTAAGTGAACTTCGCAAATGGGGAACTGTGCGACTGACCATTGTTCCAGTTTCACGAACAGTGCGGTTTGCGTATTACACGATGTATATAACTTGTCAGTCAGGTGCAAAAGTGATCGCGGCTCGTTTTGGATCCAGCAGGCACCGGAAGTCCACTAGACTAAGATTGTCTTCATTATGCTCAATGGAGTGTATGTTAATGCTGCCAATTTCTTTTCAGATTGTCTGATAGAGCGCTTGGAGGTGTATTCACTTCAAAATGCTTGCGACACATCAGCACAAGATTCCCTCCTTCATCCAGTGTTTTCCATTCTTTTAATTTTGAGGCTTCAAATAAAATTAGATAAACTTTGTGGTTGCACGGCAGTGAGGTATCATTGTCAATACCAACGTTGCTGTCTCTGATACTGATAATGAAATTGGACTGACCGTGCATTTTCGAGCCTCACTTGATAAGTATCAACCCACATACGTACATCTGCTTGAGTTAAGCAAATGATGAATCGGGTTCGCGATGAAATACAACTACAGATTATTTGCTGGATCGCCCCGCGCTTGGAGCGATAAGCCCCTGCTTAATAAGCTTAATACATCAGCGACTCAGGCTAGAATATCCTTATTCTTGTGTCGTCTAGCGGGCACAGTAGGAATTGAATCCAGTTAGTGCAGTGGAATCTCGGCGCGGTGAGGTACGCTTCAACAAATGCTATCAGTTTCGAGCAAGGTGGGCATAGTTCGCCAATCTCTTAGAAAATTTAGCTGAGGACAATTGTCCTAAGTCATTTTAGTTTCCGATGTTCATAGTGGAAACCGTCAGCTGCGTAATGCTTCTAGAGAGTTTACGCAGAGTTTCTACTGATTTAGAGTCCAACAATGTGTATACCCCATAGTGTTACGGATAAGTCGATATTATGTCAGTGTTTGAGGTTGTCGAAAGCCCTCTCAGCTTAAAGAGTGACTTCATCTACATAAGAGAACTATCTCAGGTGTTAAGGTAGACAAATGTATCAACGGAGTGAATGGGCTAGTCTGAATTCACGCATTTCTGGATTGGTTCACAGTTTTTACCACACCCTTTTCCAAGTACAATACACACGCTAAATCATAGCACAATTAATTATTTTCTTTCGCACACACCCATTCGCCTATCGATTGGTGCTCCAGTACACCATTGATAATTAGGCTTCAACCATCGACTGCCGGTCATTTGCAGCAACCCGGTGAGATCTTCTTCTTCAGGTTGCTGTGAGTTGAACAAGGTATTTAGAACTCATACAACGGTTAGAGTGCATCACTATTTCGATGACTCATATCCGATATGTTTCATTACCCTTCCACTGAAACACAAAGGCTTCTGCTGCCTCTCAAATGCATCGAAACCGAATCTCTAGTTTGTTCTGACTTCAGTGATTCACGATATCTGAACGAACACTAGTACGCATATTTCCTGTAAACGAAACACTTCCTCAAACCACTTCCTTTCAAACCCGCATTTGTTTAAAAATCAGGGTTTTTAGGGGAATCAAAATTAACCTGATACTGGCTTACTTATTGGCACAATATTTGACTTGTACTGTGAATTCATGTCACCTGATCACTGAATGTGTGTTTTAGAGTGAGCTCCAGAGACATGATTATCAGCTTTAGCGGTCATCTCATCGACCGAAGTCCATTTACCTTCAAATATCAACCAGAGTGTAAATCTTTGTCATGTGTAGTGATCCTCCTTCAGCTTTTCTCCATAACTTAGATTAAGCCGTCAGTTAGGTCTTTTTATTTTCCCATCATGCACAGATTCCTTTATTGTAAGGGTATCGGGAAATTTTTCATGCAAGCTGCACACAAAACTAAACTTGCCGCGTTTGCCACTGCATGCGGCTTCAGCTCTGGATGCCTGAGACCAACGTGACTGGCTGTGATCAGGTTTAGCACCAAATCTAACATTCCACCATGCTCCGTATAACTCAAGTTTCTGCTCTGGACTCATTGTGGTGAGATATTTATCATCAACCCAACCAGTATCTGCCGCATGTTGTAGTGATTCGGCGGGCTGCACTGGCCGGAACTCTGTTGTCCGACCCACAACCATGCCAAGAAGGCCCCGTGGTAGCGACGAACCCCTGGCCACCAGCAAGCCCATTGCGAGGCGTTCCAAAGTTAAATTCGTACCGTGCTTTACAGCACAAGTGTCGGGAACCATAAGATATTTCCTCAGTGCGACTAGCATTATCACATTCACGGAAACAGCAATGCTGCCCCCTTCCGTTAAAGGATGGGTTAGAAAATGTCGGCCCTAGAAACGGCATACTCTAGTCGTTCAGTATGGCCTTCGACGCCTTATTCCATGCAGTTGGGATACTCTTTGAAAATCCGGGTCGGGTTCTTCTCGGAAACACCTGCTTAACACAAGATCATTAGCATTTAGTCATTTGCAACCTGCTGTCTGTACCCGCGGGCTCAACTCGCCCTCCACAACTAACTGGGTCACTTCTCCGTCGATCAGCCTTTTGAGTCTAAGTCTCAAATTGACGTGCCTCAACAAAGCCCCCTTCGGCCTGGGAAACAGGTAAGTAACATCTCCAGCATACAGACAGCGTCCAATACTCCCCATTAATCGTTTTCACTCCTGTTTACCACTTTCTAGCATGATCCAGTAGTGTATAATCAACTTTGTATCCAGAGGACAGTTGAATACTAGTGAGTCTACTCAATATAACCTTTTTCCTCCTTTTGAAAAACTATTTACGTTGGCTCTGAGATACACGTACAAAATCTTACCACGGTAATGGATCTGAACACAACCCAGGACAGGCCATGCTCCTCAGTCTCATTCTTCGAGTTTCAGGTGATCCAGGAACGGCACCTATTGGTCTGAACGCTGCAATATTGCGCTCGGTGTGTGCCGAAAGTCCTCAACTTGAATGTTTCCCCCAAACAGGAGACTGCGGCTGACTTTTTTATCTCTCTGAATACGCCTCAACAAACCTCAGCAGTGACACTGTCAAACACACTTTTGTAGAGGACATTCCAGACTTCTGTAAAGAACAATATGTACGGATATCGCTATTCTTGTTGGCGATATAAAAGCTCAAGTGGGAAGAATCGATAGGCATAGAAACCATCTCGACAATGAGTTCGGTGTCGACATTCCTAGAATCGACAATACCCTGGTTGACCATGTAGCAATCAACTGTAGACGGCGGTCTTGTGTTCAAGACTCGTTCCATTCTGAACTCGTGTACGGATTCATCACACCTTGGTTCGTGCCTGTGTTGCACCTTGTTTCCCTGTGATCACAGCGGTAGTTACTCATCACTAGGACATTCGCCATCTGCAAGATGCGATCCTCAAAGTAGTTAATCAGCAACAGCTATCTAGACAACTCTCAAACCGGTCTGGTGAATGAAGATCACAGGTTCGTAATTCCCAACATTACGTGGTCTTTGTTTGACTGTCCGCCTCCTAAAATCGAACCACCGTCCAATTTATGTTAGATCGCACAAA